TTAATACCATTTATTTTTTAAAGCACTCTATTTTAACTGCTATTTCGAACGATAACTGTTATCTTTGTTTACCTTACCTGTGTCACTGTCATACCCGTTATCTGCTTTTAGTTTCTTTCATTTTCCAGTTATACTTTTGTACTCATTATTATCCCTACATCATTTCCAGGAAGTGAAATTCAAAAAGTACTGGTCTTATAAATATTAGTTCCAAGTAAGGATAGTCTTTTGTTAATGATTTCCATTTCGATAATCGCAATTTCCAATAGTGAAGAACGATATATGTAATCCATAATTTTAATTTCTTGCGTGTAAACGAAATTAGAGATTAGATATCATGATCTACGAGCAAAGTTCGAATAAGCTTCCTCCATTTTATGGACGTATAAGATCCACTTCTCATTCACGAGTAGAGCTGTTAACTCAGAGAACATCTGTACATGTAGTTGCAGTAAACTTGGGTTTCTCTGTCGTTAGCGAGTAATAATTTGCGAGTGGAAATGTATATATGCACAAATAAGAGATAAACGTCTAACGTTCTTAGAATCGTAGTGCTTGATGAAACGAAGGAGGAACGAGTTTCGCTATTAAATATAAATACGTTTTCGCAGGATTCTTGTCACAACGTTGAATTTATTTGCTTGACTCAAGACTTCCACTGAGGTCTCTTTGTTTATCCAGTTTCACAAAATAGTCTATATTAGTCTACATGATCGTAGTAGCTGCATTATACCCGAGCTGAATAATGTTAAAGTGACGCAATCGGATTTTAGCTTGCTATAGGTACAACCGCGATTCATTTTATGGATAAAAAATTAATGATATAGGAATATTTCTTGGAAATGAAGCTTGATTCAGAAGAAAAGAATTGTATACAAGTCCCAGTTTTTTCCGCAAAACTTTTCTAGTATATTTTATAAGCAAGGCTAAGAGAAGAATGCTATATTGTATTTGTATTTATATTTATTACCTCTTGCCTTTCGGCTTTGGAAGGCTCCCGATTTTATGCATGACTCCTTACAAATTCTATATAATTGCCTTCCTTACATTATACTTATTCTAATCTCACTCTTTATTTATCGCTATATAAATCTTAACTAATCATTTAAACAATCAATTTAATCAATCATAAATTCTTAGTAACATTCTAACAATTATATTTTGGTCTGATTCTTATTTTGTTTCTTGGCCACTAAAATCACCAGATATCTCACCAATGGATTTTCACTTGTGAGAAACTGTGATAGAAAAAGTTTATGAAACACAAATTAATACGCATCAAGAGTTAGTGCAAAGAATTACCATTTATTATATTTATTATATATATTTATTATATTCGTATATTAATTCGCACCTATTTACGCAATTAAGAACAGTTTCCTTTCCATTTTCCAACAAGAAATTGGTAACACAATAGACTATATTTCCCATAGATGCCAGTTTTGCATTCTTAATAACAGGCTACGATTTGAAATGATATTATAATGCGAACCGATAATCAACTCTCATGTGATATCGAAGAAGAAAGTATCCTATTGTCGTTCCATATTTTTATTGTAATTTCTAACGAAGCATTTAGGAGCAGGAGTTTATAAAATATCTTTTTCTTATTTTTGGTTATAGACTACACCGGTGAAGTTTAGCGGGAAGGTACTAAAATGCCCTGCACGTGTTTAGGAAAACATCTTTGCTGGAAACTTGGTTAGAGAATTTGTAAAACTATTCTGTAAGAACAATTTTTTGGTAACTTCAACTTGTGAAACATTCCATCGTTTCCAACTAAACGAAATGCCCTGTATACCTACGTAACTTTGTTAGTGAACAATATGTATACGTCGAATATTTTTGTCAAATTGCAAGTCAACTATTTCGAACGGTGTTGATAATTTGATTGTATTATATACATTTAACGTTGCTTCAACAGCGGAGGTCATTAGCAGAGCAGCACAGTTAACAATCTATAATTTTAAATACAATTTTGTAGATATCAGGAATCGAAGGAGGTTCAGCAGATTTTGGCTAGGATCCAACAATTTGATCATATCATTAGACGGTTTAGCAGTTCTCCTAGTTTTAAGTCTACTATATTGTAGTATATAATTTACAATTACTTTAACATGAAATTGTGTATTAAGAAAAAGCGATTGTACGATTACGCAACTGTCTGGAACGTAATCTTAAGGTAATATTTGTTCCCTTATTAGAAATTAGGACATTGATTGGTATCTATGGACAACGACAAAAACTTTGCGTGAAGAGTGTTCGACAGAATATTTCTTAGATAATATGTCGTCAGGCTGTTTCTCATTATCGGTTAATGGTGCAATGATAGTAAGTGTGCTTCTCTGAGACTGGTACCAGCACCATTGTGCGACGCAAATGTTGAGTCATCACGACTGAAAATATCGTAATTACACCGTCCGTTTACACACGTATATTTTCTCCTTGACTGTATGCAGTGTACCTGCAAATGGTGACGTGTCCAGAACATTCGAGCTTGAACTGCATGATTTGCTCGCGGAAAGAATAAAGTAATGCATCGTGACCATTTCAACTCGCTTCCTTTAAATTGTGGTTATTTCCGTTTTTATCGGAGCTATATTTGAAAGTCGTGGTTCGAAATTTTAATAAAAGAACGTTATTCGGACAGAATGAGGCATTTCCATTTCTTCGACGTTTAATTAAAACTTTAAATACGAAGTAGTCATTTCCTCGAATTTAATAGATATGTATGAATAATCCTTCTTCCTTTAATTTTCTAATTTTATGGATAACGAAAATATAAGCACTTAGATGCTGAACCATTGCATAGTAATAATATGCTTTGATTCGGTAACGTAATATTGCGAATTAACTTTCGTTAAAATAAAAAAATTTCGATTAATTATTCAAACGAAGGAAAGGTATGATTTCTCCGAAGAAGCTTCCAATTATTCCAATATTCTGATTATTCAATTTCGTCTAAACATTCAGAAGCTTTATCATATACGATGACTGTCAGGAAATCACTTTGAACATCTCGAGGACAGATTACGTTCTTGATGTAATTTACTTAGTAATCATGTAAAATAAATCTTATTGTGACAAAATGTCACTCATTGTTCCACAAGACTTCACTCGTTAATGAAATACCGTGAACTACCTCGTATTGTATGATCTTCGCATTGATAATAACTGATTCAGTATGTTCTGTTTCTAAGTTTTGACAAGATTGGGGCAAATTTTGGCAAAACTGATTTTCCTATCGCTCAATGGCTTTTTACTTCTTAACTAAACTTTATTATTAATTCCGCAATTACAAATATATTAAGTTGTGAGATATAAATTTACTCAACAATGTTTCATTATCGATTAAACGATTCTACAAAAGAATTACAGTTCACGGACAGCGAATAGTAAAGTTTGCTTTAAGTAATTGATAAGTTACATTAAGACTGTGAAATTCCTTTCCGATCTTCAATATGGCAGGACGTTTCCGAATGCATATTCCTCCAAGACATTTTACCATAGTTCCTATTTTTATTCCCAGGAAATATTTCATAATCAGTTTACTAACTCCTGACTGGTTCAAGTGATATTGATTGAATAATTTGCCACTTGATTATGAACTAAATAAAATTTAATATGAAATTGTTCGAAAATTTTAAATACAACTTTACTAATTTCTTCTCTATTATATAAAATTATAATCATTGACTTTCTTTCAAATCATAAAAAACATAGTACATGTTAACGTGTGATTCATTCTTCGCGTTCACGATATAACTTGAACACGTCAATTCGTTACGTATTCCTACAGACGAAACATTATTTTCTTTGAAAAAAGACAAGCGAAACACAAGTTGTTAAACTACGCTAAATGTACATTTTTCTTTCATTGATTTTTTTTATGATTTGCACGTGATCTGCTCTTATTCTTCTCGTACACATCCATTCAGAAAGGCGTTTCCCTGGTTCCATTCATTCAATCGACGACAATATGTCGCGACACAATCACGCAATCATAGCACGCTGTCGAATAACATTGTTCGTTTCTTTCCGTAAAAGATTCATCGTTAAACTGCTATCGCGGTTAAAAGTCCTATCGAAGTTAAAAGTCTTTACAGAGGGAAACATAATATTTCTATTACATTCACTATGTTCTTGGAATTTTTAGATTCCAATCTTGCTTTCGTGATAATAAACAGAAAGACTTTCAATGTTGTAAAGAGAAAGTGTAACTAATACAGGAGCGAGAAGACATGCATACTAACAACGGATCCTTCGTATTTTGTTAAAAAATAAATTTATGTACGCTACTACTTATTCTTTCATTATGAACAGTTATTGAAATAAAACTGATCAAAAATTGATATAAAAGATGAAATTATACAAAAAGAAATAAGAAGAAAATTGATATTATACGTATGGATACGTATGGATATATATATATATATATATATATATATATATATATATATATATATATATATATATATATATATATATATATATATATATATATATATATATATATATATATATATATATATATATATATATATATATATATATATATATATATATATATATATATATATATATATATATATATATATATATATATATATATATATATATATATATATATATATATATATATATATATATATATATATATATATATATATATATATATATATATATATATATATATATATATATATATATATATATATATATATATATATATATATATATATATATATATATATATATATATATATATATATATATATATATATATATATATATATATATATATATATATATATATATATATATATATATATATATATATATATATATATATATATATATATATATATATATATATATATATATATATATATATATATATATATATATATATATATATATATATATATATATATATATATATATATACATATAGACAATGATTTTGAAAAATTGAATTTTTATTATGAAAAATTGTTTTTGAAAAGTAAAAATTCCTTGTATTCGATAAAAAGAAAAAACTCACGACTTTCTCTAATCTCACACAATGAAATGAATCTGGAATCACAGAAAGCGAATATTTCCATCAATTTCGTGCAGCTTTGTCTTCATATTTTGCAAGTCACGTCCACTGTTTTAATGCTTTGCGCATTCTCTTAATCGGTTTCTAAAATTATCTGCGGGAACATAATATTCAGACGTCACAATCTGTGTTAAGGTCGAGCAAAGGAAAAGTGGAGCGAATATTCGCTCGTCACTGTCGAACTGCATTTCACGCGAAAACTTTATCGACAAGCCGATGTTCCAAGAAAAAGAGAATGAAAAAGCGAAAAAGCATAAACTTACGATAGCCTTATGAAAAAATAGATAAGTAATAAAAATAATAATGTCTTAGAGAAATATTATTCAAGGCCATATTGACGAGAAAAATAGGTTTTGACACAGAGCCGAAAGTTTAGACATTATCCAGTGACTCTCCCGTATCAAGCGGAGCCAGGCACTGTTTATAGATTACCACCGGGCGTACACTGTTGGTTGCTATAGCTTGAAAACGGTTTTCCACCTGTGTGCCACCTTTCGTCGGCACGAAGGAATCTCTCAAGGGTTGTATCCAGCGTGGGGGAGTCGATCACGGTTAGCCACACAGCGAAGTAACCCCGTCCACCAGGATAGAACTGTTGAAAAATGGAAGAACCCTTATCTTGGAGGATACCTGAAAGCACTCGACGAGAATCCCATTCGGCTGGCAGTTGATAAACCGAAGGAAAGGGTCGTGGAAAGATCGTAGGCCTATCGAGAGTGGCAGGTAAGAAGTAAAAAGGAAGGAAGAAAAAGCGTAATCTAGAGTGGACAAACGTCAAGAAAAAGACGTTTGGAGGACGTGAAAGAACATAAAGAGGGATGTCTGAATGGGTGGTGTCTGCTCGTGTCGAGGTCGCGGTAGCCAGGTGAATGCTGGCTCGATCCTTGATCGAGTGATCAGTCATGCGAGCGACGAGGATCAATGTCTATTGTATCGTCTGGCCAATTATAAGAAGGGCGGCGAGCTGATCGAGTCGTACAATCAAGGTGGCCAAGCGGAAGTGGAAAAATTGATCAGGGAACAGTTCGGTGTACTGATGTACGCAGATGGGAAGGGTCAGGCGATCAATCGGGCGGAATATCTACGTTGGAAATTCCGTGACCTCGAGCAGGTTGTGCTACCAATAGAGGCTTCTTTGTCACAGTTTGATCCTCTGGCTCAATGGAACGATCATGAAGCATGTTGGCAGATGCAATATAGAGGATCACTCGGAGAGACTCTCCTGCATGTCCTGATTATATGCGATACCAGGATACACACACGACTAGCGCGTATTCTGCTTAAGTGCTTTCCACGATTGGCTATTGACGTAGTCGAGGGCGAGGAGTACCTCGGCGCTAGCGCTCTGCATCTCGCTATCGCGTACAACAATAATGAACTGGTTCAAGATCTCGTGGAGGCGGGAGCGATTATTTCTCAGAGGGCGATAGGCAGCTTTTTCCTGCCTAGGGACCAACAACGAACGAATCCAGCTAAGAATACGGATTACGAGGGATTAGCATACCTGGGAGAGTATCCCCTCGCCTGGGCTGCTTGCTGTGCAAACGAGAGTGTTTACAACTTATTACTCGACTCTGGCGCTGATCCCGACGAGCAGGACTCTTTTGGGAACATGATACTACATATGGTAGTCGTTTGTGATAAATTGGTATGTACTTGTTAAATTTGCTTATATCGTACGTTATTCTAAGCAAATGTTCATTTGAATTACTGTTTTGTTTTTGCAATATTCTTTGAATATTTCTATTTCACTGTTTCGAGAGGCATATTTTTCTATAATATGTAAATTGATTAATCGAACGATATCTTGTACAAGTATATATCGTTATTCAAGGTTCAATTCGTGGTAATAGTTAATATGTGATGCTATTTCTTTTATCTTTTATACACATTTTTATACCGCATTATACGCATCTTTTATACCACATTCAGTCGCATAAGATCTCGAAGAAAACATTTTTATGATATTTTCCTTAATAAATTATTGACAGAACAACTTCTTACGTATATGTGTATGCATTTATTCTGCATAAACATCGCATCATAATTCTCAAAGAAGAAATATTTATTATTATTTGAAATTGTATGTCTAGAGAACCTTGAACAACAACTTACGATTGTTTTCTATAGAAATTTTTTAAACAACACTGAGCACTTGAATTCCTTGTCCTATAGCATAAGTATACCTAACTATAATTCATACATGATAAACAGGAAGCATATCGACGAAAATTTAAAAGGTTTCGCGATCTAGCAAATGTGGACGTAGTCGTAGTGTTTAAAAACCTAATTAACTCGTCTAGCCATAAAAGCTTTATAAGATAAAGGATTAATAGGCCTCATACGGCTTTAAACGATAAAATCGAAGTAGCATTCACGATATCAGATAGAATATATCGAACGAACAGGTGAATTAATCGACTCACCATAAATATTATTCTGCGTATCGGTAATTTCCATATAACGTAATTGAAAATAGTTTACTCGGTTATTGGTGTAACAAAGCTCTAATAAAGGTTATTTGTTGGCAAACCGGTCAAAAATTGATCGCTATATTGATTTTTTCAAAGGAACCGGAAAAAATTTCAAGCTGCAATTTACCAATATTTTTGCCAGATTTTTTTTATTTTTTATTCGTAACTATCTGCATATTTTCACAAGGTTATATCGGTTTTCGTGGAATCATGATCCGACCAAGTCGAAAGTTATTTCGGGAGAGTATGTATCTTTACAATTCGTGCTACATTGATAAACAATTAAATATAACAAAGCAACGGTGTATAAAAATGGAACATCGAGTATTCGAAAACTCGATTAACTACGATTTGGTTTGTTTATATATACATACGTACACATGCAATACCAAGCCCATACGACTTTAACCTCGTATGACTTCTTCATTCTTTTGAAAAGGTAGTAAAAAATAAGATAGTAGAGGAATTACGCTTTTATATGTGTACATTTTAGACAAATAAAACCACATTTTTTTTCAACCCCCGTAGCACAGTCAATATCGCAAGTTTCTTCATAATATTCATTTTCATTTTTTTTTTATTTTCATCGCTTATTTCATTATTACGTTACGTATTTAATATTACAATATTGTACGCGAACATTCTATCCCTTATTTACTTGCAACGAATATATAAAAAAGAAAGAAAAGTCGATATCACTGAACCAACGCAAACGAATACCATTTTAAACAAGAGACCACACAGCGTACTGGTCTGTTTTTCTTAGACCATCGAGAAAGATTTCCACTAAATCGAGTACAATAGCACGGCTGTATAACGCAGGACATGTTCGGGTATGCCCTCCGTCATCCGAAGCTTCCTGCTCGCAATGGGATCGTGAATGCCGCCGGACTGACCCCATTGACGCTCGCCTGCCAGCTGGGTCGCGCAGAGGTCTTTCGGGAGATGTTGGAACTGTCTGCACGAGAATTCTGGCGTTACAGTAATATCACCTGCTCGGCATATCCGCTGAATGCACTCGACACGCTGTTACCTGACGGCAGAACAAGTACGTCGTAATGCTAATCGAATTACACGCTTTCGAGAATCGTCGTCCGGGTTTCGTCGTCCACGAGCAACGTTCAAGTGGCCACTCACTTTGTGACGGGCCTTCGTATAACTGCCAAGACTCAAGGCCGAATCGTCTTTAGATCGTTTCCTCTATTTCGGTGGAAAAAAGGGGATACCGGTTCTCCGGTAATACCATGTAATTGGCTCGCCTTTTTCGAATCCCGATCGACACCTCTTGATTGATTTTCTGAGGGAAATACCGGTGCTTTGAAATCAGTGTTCTGGGAGAGCCGGAAATTTGTAGCTGCTTTGGGACCTTTAATTTATGGAATTGCCAGATCGTGCGAATATCGTTGGTAATAGAAGATAAAATATATTCCAGGTTTTGGTTTGATATTTAAGGTACTAACGATTTTTCGACGATACCAGCGCTCGTGGAGATAAAATATGGGTTTAAGAAGAACACTGTGCATGATTCGAGCTCGATTCGATGTGATTTTACGCGTATGTAGTTGCGCGTATGATATTATTCTTTGATATGAGGGGGAAATCACTAAAACCTTGAAGAGAATTTTTGCGCGAAAGAGTATTTAAGATTCAAAAATAATTATCTTATTTTTAAATAGTTACGTTTGTTCATTTCTGATAACAGATACGTACTTTATTATATATCGAGTGCAGATTTAATAATTTTAATAAATGACGAACAACATTCGCCATGGATTTCGAATTGCGAACATCTTTCGAAGCACCGTTGTATTTTATTTTTTGAACTTTTATTTTGAACTTTGTATTTTATTTTTAGAATTAAAAACTGTGGAACTGAATTGAGGATCGAACGAAACATTCTCCTTATTTGAATAGAATTTTTCTTTTTTACAAAACAGAATTTTTAATTAAACAGTTCACAAACGTTTATACAAGTGGTTGACGAAAGACATATGATTAGATACGTTAAGAACTTTCTTACGGAACATGCGAATCTTTTAAGATCTTTCGTATGGACTTGTAGATTTTTAAGAACCTTTTTAAGAATTTTGCGGATTTTAAACGTTCACATTGACGAACTTTTCCGACTTTGTCAAGAATTTACTCAGACTTTGTACGCATTTGAGAAAGTATAACACTCGTTAATTGCGAGTATTACCAAATACTGAATCAAGAAACGAGCAATCATATAATTCGACCGTGAGACCTCGATATCCATGAGCAATCACATTATTCGCGATCGTCGTTTAATTTCCACGAAATTCGTCTTCGATAGAGAGACGCACCGTGCACGAAGCTAAGCCCCGTTACCATGCCACGATCTGCATTTAAAGAGCCCGGCAATCGGACTTCTGCCAAATTGTATCGAAGTTCCCAGCAGTCTCTTGAGCCTGCCTGCTTTCCTTTCTTCTCTCTCATTCACCTTCGAATTCGTGCAAAGTGGATGTATCCATCCACGATTGGCGAGTTTTCTAGACGTTTCGGTGATTCATGGGAAGCAAAGAAAGAAACGGAAGGGAAAGACAGAAACAGCAAGATAGAGAGATAGAGAGAAAGCATAGATGCCAGTGTGAAGATTGTGCAACGTTGGGAATGCCACCCTCGAAGAGGGGCGCGGAAACGGTGTAAGAAGGAAGACAAGGGAAAGCGGGTCGTTGCAGGATGCAATTACGGCCATTTAACGAAGTTTCGAGATTAGCCGCGGACGCGGAGTTGGGTGCTCGCGTTTCATTTAGTTTCGGAATCCATTATCCTTTCACCCAGCTCTTCCTCCAACCTAACCTCACTACCACTTCGTACCCACCATCGTCTCTCCACGCTCCTTCGTTTCCTAGCCGTGTCCGTCTTTGTCACCGCGGCGTGAATGTCATCCGATGGATTCGCCGATAGCTGAGTCAAGACGAACCTACCGACTAAAGGATGGGGATGACACGGGGTGGAGAGAGGGTAACCATGTCGTTGGTATATATGTATAAGAGAGGGTGAACTTTGGGCTTGCTCTCCTTCCAACGGGAACGCTTAATTACTCCGAT